TCTCTCTCTCTCTCTCTCTCTCTCTCTCTCTCTCTCTCTCTCTCTCTGTCTCTCTCTCTCTTTTACGCCGAATCAGATTTTTGGCCATACAAAATTTGCTTCAATATATTTACACATTATATATTTTTGTATATATGTAAATATATATATCTGGAATGGCATTTCAAATCTTGAGCAGGAGCCACAATCAGGTCGATCTAGTATCTCTGCTTTGTACCTACTCGCAGCTTCATTTCGTTTCCACGAAATCGATACAAAATAAAAATATTAATCTTCCGTTATTTATTTATATTGGTTTATGTTTTCGTGGCTCTTTCCAAGAACTAGCACGATTAAAGGTGCGACTTTACATTCGGCAACTGGTTTGACTCGAGTCAAGAAGAGTCAAGCTACAGCGATTACAAGCTCACAGATAATTCTTAAATTACATTGGATCTACTATATATCAATTTAAAAAAGATCTTATTACACTTAAACTGAGAGGGAGAGAGAGAGGCAGACCCTGATACTCCAGCATAATCAGGGTCTGTCTCGCTCTCTCTCCCTCTCGCTCTCTTAGTTTTTAGCGTAGCCTACAATTAGTTAATGGAAAAGAAATCGTGTTTACTGTGCGCTGAGTCAGTTACCTGGATTGATCGACTTGGCTCTTTCGACTCGTCAACATTTGCCTAGGCTATTATCATAATCAAGCAAGTCCATTGTTGGTTGGGGCATAACAGTTTGGAGCTGGTATCAAGCGGCGACCGCTCCATATTTGAGCTTCTCATTAGCGGACGCAGAAAAGGCTCAAAAACTAAATTTCTTTAATCACTGCAAAAGTAAACAAACTAATCGCACTTTCGGGGATAGAAAAACAGTTTTTTATTTTCAAAAATAACAAAAAATTTAATAAAAGAAAATAAAATACAAAAACTTAAGTGAATTAAAAAAAAAAAAAAATGAGCTCAATATAGTTTTGTGCAATTGATCGTTTAGTTCCTCCTGCGATCATTGCGCTCCCTCTGCTTCATCTGGTAGCTGTGCAGAGCCTGCGCTAGCTCGCGTAGACTTTCCGATCCCTGTCGCTGCTGTTTGCGCTCCTGCTGCTTCTTGAGCTCCTTGCACATCTTCTTCAGCTTCTTGCGCTCCTTCTTGACTGACTTTTGCTCGTGGCTGTCCTCGTCCTCCTCAGACGAGGAGCTGTCCCGCTTACGGCGCCGGCGCAGCTGCTCGCACTTGGCCAGCAGCTCCTTAACCTCAGCATCGTCGTCCTTAGGCGTGGTGCTTGATGCATCTGAGTTGGGAGTTGTGCCTGATGCATTGTCGCCTTTCAGGGCGGTGCTCGATGCATTGTCGTCTTTCGGGGCGGTGCTCGATGCATTGTCGCCCTTCAGGGCGGTGTTAGATGCCTCCGAGTTGGGCGTAGTGCTCGATGCAATATTCTCTTTCAGGGCGGTGTTCGATGCATCTGAATTGGGCGTAGTGCTCGA